AAACAGACCTGATACAAGTCAGATGTTGACCAAGCAGATGTTCCTAGCTTGCACCTGCGTACATAAATATACATACATACATACATACATACATACATAGATATATATATATATGTATACACAGATAATCACAGAGATATTCTGCGCAGCGCTTTGGCTGACCAAGGTCGCAGGAGGTTTCTCGAGCGGACTTGGTCCAGCGCAACATCGTCCCAGGCGTTTATTTCCGAGCGCAAGAGCCGAGGGGCTGCTTCCGGAAACCCGCCACCCTCTACATTTTGGGAAGCTGTGCGCGGAAGTGTTGCATATATCCAGATTTCCGATTCTCCATATGTGCTTAGGTTATGTAGGTCAGATTGCTCGTGTACCAACTATTTTATGCTTTTCTCTAGCCCTGCATACAGGTGTATCGGTTGTGCGCCGGGGCATCCACGTCTTGGAGGGCCTGCTAAGGCCCGAAAGTGTGCCTTTGGCAGCTTCTCGGTTTAACAGCTACATGGCTGGGAGCCTTTTGCAAAGCAGAAATGATGTGGGAGAAGCGCTTCCGGCACCAAGACCATTCATTGAGGGCAATGTGGCAGGTCTCGCCCCTCCCTGGAACAGCTTACAGCAGCCAACAGGCCTGGAAAGTGATCAGCAAGCATCGTCCACACGACCTTGACTTCAAACTTGACCTGACAAAGTGACTAGCTGCTAGAGCTAGCTGACAGCTGATGGAGCACTTCACGCGTTTGCTCCGAAAGTGCTCTGCTCGTCGACGGACCTCCCTTCGATGCCCCCATGCAGCCACCGTCAGGCTGCCGCCAAACTACATCGACAAGGCCTGCCGGAGATTTGGCTCGGCTTGTAAAGCCATTCCGTATTGATGAGGTCGAGATGCTGGCATCAGCCTGTTTGTGCTCTTGAAACTCGCAAGCTAATGCAACACGAAGCCTGGAGCCTCCTCCATGAAGGTCCGATGCCGAACCCTTCAGTCCCTTCAGCCGTGATGAATTCGTCACTCGCGTCACTCAGATGTTTCCTGACGATGCAAGCGGAAGCGCTGCGCCGAAAGCGGAGCGTCGGCGAACTCAGAGCCTGGCGAGGAGAGGACACTCCTTCGTGTCCTTTTGCCAAGAGAGATTGACCATGGTGCGATTGAGGCAAGCCAGCAGTGTCGCTGAATCAGCTTCTTTCCCCGCCTGCGGCTCAGTCGGTCAAATACCTTGGGGACAGCAGTCATAGGAGTTGAACTTCCGTAAATAAAGAGCATATAGCAGCGTCGTCTTACCACCCCGAAGCCTCGCCACAGGCCGAGCAACAGGCCGGGTGCAGCTGTGAGTCCTGGGCCGGCAGGCACCTTCGGGCGCTTGAACAGTGAGACACGCGCGACGACGGACGACGGAGGACGAAGAGGAAGTCATGGAAAATCACCATAGCTTGAGGTGCAAGTCCACCCCTCTCACCTCGCAGATGCCCATTCTTGTGAGCCAGTTATACCGCAAAGCCTGAGTTTTTCGCTCGGATTCACGCGAATCTCCCATTTGCTCTCTAATTCTGGTTTCAGGCATGCATACCCTGCCAGTGGCACTACCTCGATTGGAGATCGATTCGACGGCAGACTCGCTTGAGCTTGACTCCTGTGCCAGGGCCCCCAAACTACATGCCTGTGCCGGGTGGTCAGGCCTGCAGGGCCGGGATGCCGAGTGTCAAGTCGGCATCGCATGTCTCTAAAAATACGAGAATGCCCTGTCAAGGCCGGATGTAGGCAGTGCAGAAGAGCCTTATTGCCAGTGCTTCCGTATTTAGTGTGGTTCTCAGCTGCTCTTTCACGTCAAGGGTGGACTCTTCATCCTCCCTGATGACATAGCAGACGTAGCAGGTTCAGCCAGAAAAATCGATATTGAGAAAGCACCACAATGACTTGCCGATCCGGGGACATCTGCTGTCTGCAGAAGGCTGATAGGAAAGCCTGTGATCAAACATCAACCTGTCGCGAGCTGTGCCAATTTTCCACGTGTTGCAGCCCAACGCAGGTGCCTGTCGACCCTGCGGTGCTGGCAACCTGGATGGTGCAGGCCGGTTCGCCAGAGACGTCGCAGATGCTACACTTCCTTCGCTCGCACATACACTTTTCTCTCCAAATTTTATGTCGGAACTCAAGCGTCAAAGCCAGGCCGCCATGATGAAGAGCCCATCGCCCATCACTGGACTGCCGCCCTACCCGGGCACCATGCCACCCTTTGCAGGGGCGTGCCAGCCTGAGTCACTCCTACATCATTCTGCTTATTTCTGCTTTCTTGTGGGCATGGGCAGTCCGTGCACCAAGAAAAGTCCGACTCCCTGGGATTTTGGTGCGGATCCGAGGATGCCAGCTGCAGGATTTCCTCCTGGGTTCGCGCCTTACTATGCCTGGAACTTTCACGAAGGCTTTGAGCGGAGGAGTGAGTATACTTGCTGGCAGGGCTCTGGGTTGCCATGCGCATATGAGTGCTTCAGGCTACTGAGTGCGGCTGCTGTTTTGTGTTGCGCAAGCAAGATGCGAACGCAAAGCGGCCACAGCATGTACACAGGAAGCAACCTTCAAGAGCTTTCAGAAGCACTCTGCCGCGCTTCTGTCTTCTCGCGCCGGCAGGGCTGCATTCCCCCGGCCTGGCTTCCAGCCTCGGGTGTCCGAGCCCCGAAGATCCTCGTTGAGGGCATGTCGAGCCCCTCCCGTGCGGCACAGTGTTTTTGTGGATTCTGTGGTTATGGCTCTGCCTGAGCCGGGAGCATACTGTAGCACGTTATCTCGTTGATCACAAAGCAATATTTCTAGAAGCTCGATTGAAGGTTGCACCGCGACCCGTTGGGTGGCAGAGTTTGAAAAGATATCGGCAGCGGCTCACGAAGAACGAGTGTTCAGCTGACGCGGCTTTGGCTTCTCTCAGCCTCCTCATCAGAGAACAGTCCGACGTCAACAACAGATCGCTGCCCTGAACTAGTACAATCCGGACGCTTATTGAATCGAAGGGCACCGTTTTTGTCGGACCTTGTGCTGACGCGAAACAGCTCCGAACCGGACCCCAGGCAAGCGGCTCCGGGCTCAGAAGCGAGCGAGGCGCGGGGATGCGGGATGCAGAGAGGCGTCTCACACGTTTCTTCACAGAGCAGGACGCAATTTCGGGCATCTCGCCAACAGCTCGTGCTCAGAAGGTGCAGCAGTCGTTTTTGCTTGCGAAGCATGTGCATGCTAAGATTTGCCACAGAGAGCGCCATGCTCTATGAACAGTCTACTGTACCTCCCCAAGCATGACTGCCAGCCTCCGAGCAACGTCGGGGTGGACATGATCGCTCCGATCCTCGGCATAGTTCGGAGTCGGGTTGCTGAGTGGTCAGGACTTTAGGAACTTCCGGATCTACATCGGTTGATGTGTCTTGCTCAAACAACAGACCGGCACCATCCCACTCTGGTCTGAGGATACGGCCCCCGAAGCCCTCCATTCAGGCACGGTCCGTAAGGACTTCCCGCATGTATCACATGCGGCCCATGCTCTGTCGGGCTAGCTACAAGTAGTACGGTATGGTATCATGCTAGGAAGATTAAAAAGCCGAGTGTGTGTTTTTTTGTCAGTATGCTTGGAGGAGGCTTCCATGCACACCTTCACAGCATTGCTGCAGCACATCCTCCTCACCGCGTTGATAGACAAGAAGTTGCAAGTGTGCCTCGTCTGGTCCCCCCCCCCCCCCCCCAGAGGCACAGCGCGCAGCGAGCCCGCAGGTCCCTGCCGTCTCGAGGACAGCCGGTGCAAGGGTGTCGAATGGTGTCAAGAACTTCGTAAAATCTTCCAGCCTGGCTTGAACCAGACTGATTGAGTGTTGCATGGATTTGGGGGTCGGGGAATCTGAAAGCTTCTGACCAAGCAATAATGAATAGTTGAATAGCCCACCACCATCCATCGGGTGCGCTAGGAAACAGAAAGCACCCTTCAAGAGCTGGAGCAACTACAGCACGCACTGCCACGTGCCCCCAGTCTCCACCGGATTGCGATTTCCTGAGCATCCCTGCCTGAGGGTAAACATCCACTTCCAGTCTTGCGGCGCCTCTCGCTGAAACATTCTCAGCCAGAGCCCAGTTCGACACCTAAAGGCGTGGTCTGGATGGTGCAGGTACCGGGTCCAACACCTCAACGAGGCTCTGAGATCTTGAACAATGCCGGAGATGCCCGGAGCACCGTGCGGCCCAGGACCGAGGTGCCGCCGTTCGTGGCGCTGCTCGCGGCGCAGCTGCATTTGGGCTTGTATACGGATGTGGAGAGAGGCGGATGTATGCGGAGACATGGGCCAACTTGTAGCCGGCCAGTGTCAAGAGATCGCCATGGCCGCTGTAAGGAAAACTTCTGCAACCACATGCTTGGCTCGGACCCGGTCTCTCCTCCCGGAAGGCTCCTGACGGGTTTCAGTTGAGTCTTCGGTACTTCGACCTTGTTGCATCCACGAGCTGCAAGTGCAACTGAGATCGCCGACTCGTTTTTGTTTGAGTTTGGCACCTGGCCAAAAACAAGCATCGTGCTGTGATGCGCCATCCTTCCCCAGGTGATGGGGTGCCTCAGGCCCGACACGAGTTCGGCCACCGCTGAGGAGGTGATTTTCCGTGGCATCGTAGATGTAGTCGTATCCGTGCACCAGGTGCGGAGAGTGTAGGCTCTGAGGCTGGGGTTTCAAACCGGTCTTGGTGTGTGCGAGGTGAAAACACAGCAGCCCTACTTTGGAATTCGCACTCAACGACGGGTCAATTCTGTGAGTGATGATGCAGCTTTGTCGGACGGAGTAAGTCTGGGGTGTGCAGGCGAACAATGATTTGACCGCAGCATCGCTGATCTCGAGGCTTTGTGAGTCTATCCAGCATGTCAGCACCCTGTTTCGGCAATCACTTGCCACGGGCATAGAAACGACACACGATCGAACCAACCTCGGCTAAGCTTCCCAGAAGTGTCAGGGCACGACAGAGGAGAGATTAACCAGTGCCTGTGCAAGACGATAGCTCCTGACAGCTGTCCTTGGCGAGGGTCTGAGCTCGGCAACATTCGGCAACGTGCCGTCGCTGCACCAAAGCCTCATCTGCAGAGGTGCGTGGAGAGATGGCAGATCTCAAGATCACTGAAAAGCCTGACCCTCAACTGCTGGACTAAGGAACATGCTCCTTCACGAGCATCAAGTCATCAGCTTGCGTCTCGACGCCTGATTCGGTTGAATGCACCCCAGCTTCCATCTCAGGACAACGCTGGCCTACCAGAAGTTCATGGCAGAGGCAGAGCACCTGCAAAAAAGGTGTCCACAACTCTGTCCCCAGCCCTTCATTCCTTGCAGCGTACTTGGGCAACTATGGATGCATTGATCAGGCTGACAAGCACGTCCAGAAAATGCGACAAAGTTGGCAAATGGAGGCCGGCAGATACTTGCTGCAGACACGACCTCTCGCATCGCAAGCTCCTCTTGCCGTTTGTTTAGACCTTTGGCCGTTCAGCCCGGCTCGACCTGCTTGCAAGGAATTCCACGAGAAGTGTCGAAATGAGTACGAGAAGGCTTGCGGGGAGCTGGAAATTCGGAAACAGTTTCTGAGAGCACCCGTAGTTCTCGCTTGGGTGGCTTGTGGCTATAAGAAGGCAGGTCGCTGGCAGCTTCAAAAAGAATGTTACTCCAGGCTCAGACCTCCTTCGTTCATTGACAGACGGGACGTGGAAAGTACAATTGATGGCATCAGGATTTCCTGACAATTCGACCGAGCACGCACGGTGTTCATGTCCACCAGGGCTGAATGAAGCGGCTGCTCCCGGTCTGAGAGATGTAGATGCAGCCCATTGCAGCCCCAAAGAGCTCAAGTGGAATTTGCCTAAGCCTCCAAGCAACCGAACCGGGCAGCTCTTTGGCCGGGTCGGCCTTCGACCTCTGGACAACATCCGAGGCACGGGCCCCAGAGTGTCGGGGCTTCGCAGGCGCTCAGGTAGCTGTTTCTCTACTGTCGTGGTGGATGACATCAAGCTCCCTAGCATCATCCAATGGCCAGCCCATACAAGGCTTAAAGTACACGAGCCTCGCTACCTGGGCAGCAGGGCAGAAGAGGGGTTTCGAGCGTAGGGCGTGGACATCGGCTGAACACAGTGGTACCATTTCTCTTTTCTCTTGCAGAGGTGGCAAGCCGAAGCCGCGGTACCTCATAGATCGCGCAGCTCTCCCAGAATCAGAATCTGGGGCAATTTCGTTGTCAGAGGTAAACAGGGTACCTTCGTTGTCGGCTTATAGGGAACCGGTGCACTCGGATCGCTTCGACCCGGCAAACAAGACTCAGCCTGAAGGGATTGCGTTGCTAGCAACAACACTTGAGCTCTCTGCCGCGTGTGCTGGGTGTCTGAAGCGGCTGGAGGCTGCTGTTGGCATCAGGGATGGTGGGAGACCGCAGCGTTGTGGCTGAAAGATGCTGACAGCAGCAACATGCGAGAAGCCACGCTGCCCACAAGCTACCACACTACAGTAAAACAGCAGTCTAGCACACATAGCACTCACCTTTAGCCAAGCAGCCAAGCCCAGGGGGTGCCAGAAAGAAGCGCTCTCTGCCTCCGGGATCACGGCCCGCAATGGCCTTGAGGCCGAAGCGCCGGAAGTCCAGTGCCAAGGTCCTCCCTCCGAACATCTCCTATGTCCCAGGCCTGCAGCTACGCCGGTCAATTTCTGCTCGTTTCCTTGTCATTCCTCTTGGAACTGCAGATGCTGGTGCGGCGGCTGGGCCATCGCCTGGTGCATCGCCGGGCGAGGATCCGGATCGGGAAGACGGGTTATTGGGATGAATGTTGCCTGCATCTTCTCGGGGTTTCGGGCCAGACGTCGATACTGTCTGTCTCTGGTGTCAGATCCCTCCGGCTCTTCCTTTACGAAAGACGTTCCAAGCTTCAACGGGCATAGTACGGGCCTCTGGTTCTCCAGGACAGCGTCATCCTGAGCATGAAGCCAGGCGCCAACTTGTAGCAGGTTTCTGGAGTCAGCATCCACTGCAGCTGAAGGTGGGCTTTGTCCAGGCATGTTCAAGGTTCATGCAATTTCCCGACTTTGAAGTTATGCATCTTTCCACCAACGACAGCGAGCGGTTCCTAAGGAGTTGGTGCTCAATGAAGCTCTCTGAGGGGGCTTCGCATCCACAACCCACTGGCACCCGCCCCTGACGGTGCTTTGGGACAATGTGCAACCGATGATAATAAAACATAGTCAGGCGCTGATGACGAGTGGGAGCTGCATACCGCGAGCATGATCTCCACAATACAAGTCTTGGCTGCTGATGCGCATGCATGCCATGCTCCACCTATGGCTCTGACGTCTGTGCAGGCCCAGTCGTGGGAACCTACACTATCGCCGACATCAAGGCAAAGTTTCAGGCGCTGGACAGGCCAGGCGCCGTTGCTTCGTTCTGAGACTGCGAGTCGCCCCGCTTCGTACCTAGGAACGGCGATGGAATTTTGAGTCGGGATGCGAGCTCAGAAGTCTCCGCAGCTGTGGGCAGTCAATTCCCGTCCTCGGTCACCGTGCACTTTCATCAACTGAAACCAAGGAGGAGATGGGCGTGCTGCTTAGGAGAGGGCGTGACGACATCACCGACGAGGAGTTGGCTCCTACGTGTGAAATTCAGGCGACTGAAAGTCCCCCTCCGGTCGAATTTTCTGACAAGGCAGATGGCCAACGGAGGGGTGACTGAGATTCTCTCGTTTCAAAAAGAGCAGGATTGTTGTCTGGTGGCATGATCGCTCTGAGTGTGTGAACTTTTGGGAAGCCTATGGCACTCCCAAGCCATTTAAGCCAAGGGGGTCCTCTGGGACGACATGAATCACGATGGAGACGAGGCCCCTCACCGTTAAAGTGTTGTTCGTGTCCATGAGGCCATGAGATTGGGGTGCCTTGCAAGGGCATCGACTTCGATGAATTTGTCGATTACCTCTTCGGCCTGTACACCTCGGAGCCCACTTGTTTGGGATTGATCACAATTGCAGACAGTGCTGAAGGTTTAAGTGCAAGCGCACAGCTAAGCAAACTGACGTGCGCTCAAAAGTCGGTGTGTGCAGTGCTGACACGTTGATGCTGTCAGACCATTGAGACATGTTCAACAGCCGGATGTGTCGACCCTGTTACTACTGCGCTTCTTGTCATTCGCACTGTTCTTGCTTGCTGCTACCGCTCTGCTGGTCCTTCGTGCAACGTGCTACACTGACCAGTGCTACTATTGGACGTGACGGCGACAAGGAGGAGGAGGAGGAGGGCGAACGACCATAATGCCTCCCTGTTGCGAAGACTCTTCGTGTTACAAAGCCGTTTTGAGTTGAAGAGGATGGAGCGAAGCTGGACTGGCGAGGGGCATCAGAGGCGGCGGCGTTTCGGCTTTCTCCGTAGGTTCTGCGCATGACATGACACGGACAAGACTTGCGCTGACAGACTATGAAGATTGGAATGCTGGCATCCACAGTGCACGAGATTAAAGCTGGCAGAATAAGAAAAACCGGTAAAATGATATATACTTGTAGCGACAACCAGAAAAGAAACCCAATTGCAAAGCATGTGTCGCAGCGCCATCAAAGCTAACAGTTCTACGCCGCACATCCAAATGCTTCGTTCCTTCATGCCCACCCAGTTGCACTTGGCATATTACTGGCTTGGCTTCTCCTCGGGCAGCTTTGCTGTTGCCTCCTTGGATCTCCTTGGTGTCGTCACAAGGTCATCCCTTGACATTAGTTCATTAGTTGCCCTGATCTTTGGTGCAGGTGTTCCATGTCATTGCCGGGGCCAGCAACAGGCAAGGCTCCTCCGGCTTGCCTCTGACTGCAACTGTTTCAGCCGTTGGCTTTGGAATTCAGATGTTTCGATGCATGCTGGAAATCCCGACCGCCCGCACCCGAATCTTGCCCTTCCTCTAAGCCTTCACTCCTCAACCCGGAGTTGCTTCCTACGTCCAGCAAATTTCCTTGCCAACGCGCACAGGGATTATATCACTTACCACGAGTACCTGGCGCTCTGTCGTGCCCTGGCTGTGGCAGCCAAGTTGATGTGTTGCGTGGTCAACCACAGTTTCACGTGGCATTAAGGGTTTCGGGCTTACAGGGTGAAGGATTTTAGGGTCTAATGTTTCAGGGGTTCAGGTGTTTCGCAAAATAGGTTTTATCTGGATCCTAGTAGAAGTCTGGTGCTGCTCGCTGCTAACGCGGTCAAGAGCAGTGTTAGTGCTGTCTCGCTCTCCTTTTAGAGGATGGGGTAGCGCCTGGAGCGTGGGGTGGCAAGTCTGCTGCTGCCTCAAGCAAAGCAAAGCAAAGAGAGAGTGCATGTGTGTGCCCACAGACTGACAGAAAGCCATGCAAGCACCCAAGCCTACGTGCATAGTTAGTGTTCATACACACATCCTAGTTCCTAGACAAGATAAGACACCGATTGTTTACATATTGCTCCTACTCCGACTACTGCTCCTGCTACTCGTGCCATAATACTTTGACTCTTGCAATTCCTACGCCCGTTACTGCTGCCACCGCTGCGCATCTTTTAGGGTTTAGGGATTTTGCCAATTCTATTTCCGCAATGTGCAGAGGGGTGCAAGAAAAATCGATTTTGGGCACCGGCGTGGCTTTGACTCTAAACTCTGCGTTGTAATCCCCGTCGAGGGTCGAGGGTCTCAACTTAAACCCACCCCTCCCTTCCCCCATTGTCATCCCTCACAGAATGAGCAGCTGGGGTTGCCCAAACAGCTGACAAGACAAGAATTGACAAGAAGAGCTCATGGAGCCACTCGGCGTTCACCCCCTTCAGCCGACGACCCTGAAAACTCAGCAACTCCCGCCCTGAAACTCACTCAACTTTCAAGTTCTACAGAACGAAAACCGAACCCCCCCCCCAAAAAAAA